CTGTCTCCCAGCACCTCTTTAAAAACCTCTGACATCATTCCTAAACAGTTTTTTCTCATCGCTTAGAACAAAGTTTGAGTCCAGTGCAACGTTCCCTCTAAGCTGTGGAGTCTTGTGAGCAAAAATTCTACTTTGTGAGCTACTGGCATTAAATCTGTGAGCGAGTGATTTGGCTGCTGCATAAATCAGTTTGCTCTGGAGCCATCTGTCCTGAGCTAAGACAAAAAAGTGTGAGCCGGAGGCTAAAAACCTGTGAGCGAGCTCACACTAACTCAGCTTAGAGAAGACACTGGTCCAGTGTCACCTTTAAGACCGACAAAGCTTAATTTTGGGGGGAACCTTTCGTGTGCACACACGCTTCCTCAGATACCAAGGGGTGTGCTTGCGGGCGCAACTTTTACGGGACAAACCCAGGGGTCATTTCCTGCAGGAGCCCACAGGAGCGGAGCTCCGGCAGTAAAGAGCCCAGAGGGTGGGCACATGCAACAAGCCCCACCCCCTGCTCCCAGCAGCCCTGGGCCACAAGGAGCAAGAAGCAGCCAGGTAAGTTGCAGTGGGTGTCGCCTTCTGACACACTTCTGGTGATGCCAGGGGGTGTGGCATATGCAAATAAGTGATGCTAATGAGCTCCTGCACCTCTTTTTCTACGAAACGACCCCCGGACCAACCAATCCCTGTCACTGACGGCTGAGGAAGAGGAGGACACGCACACCACCCGACTTCGTCTCACAAACCGCTCTGGCAGACAGGAGTCTGGGAAGAGATGCTGCAGGACGACAGGTGGCATTTTGGTGCTCTAGACGGAAATGGCAAAGGGTGTCCCCTCCAAGAAAAGAAGCTCACGCCCCACAGAAATCAACATACCTTGGGGAAGAACAGGGCAGGATGCCCCCTGGGTGGCCAGATCTATCTTCCACTCACACTGCCCTCCTTCAACGAAAAAGAAGAAGAGGAGGAGATTGGATTGATACCCCGCCCTTCACTACCCAGAGGAGTCTCAGAGCGGCTTACAGACTCCTTTCCCTTCCCCTTCCCACCACAGACACCCTGCGAGGTAAAAGAAGAAGAAGAGATTGGATTGATACCCCGCCCTTCACTACCCAGAGGAGTCTCAGAGCGGCTTACAGACTCCTTTCCCTTCCCCTTCCCACCACAGACACCCTGCGAGGTAAAAGAAGAAGAAGAGATTGGATTGATACCCCGCCCTTCACTACCCAGAGGAGTCTCAGAGCGGCTTACAGACTCCTTTCCCTTCCCCTTCCCACCACAGACACCCTGCGAGGTAAAAGAAGAAGAAGAGATTGGATTGATACCCCGCCCTTCACTACCCAGAGGAGTCTCAGAGCGGCTTACAGACTCCTTTCCCTTCCCCGCCCCACAACAGACACCCTGTGAGGTAGGCAGGGCTGAGAGAGCTCTTTCAAGGACTGCTCTTTTTCAAGGACAGCTCTTATCAGAACTGTGGCTTGCCCAAGGTTATCCAGCAGCTGCAAGTGGAGGAGTGGGGTATCAAACCCGGCTCTCCCAGATTAGAGTCTGCACGCTTAACACCAAACTGGCTCCCCAATGTGGGGGATGTCTCCCCAGCCTAAATTCCATCGCCTCAGCAAAGCAAGATGAGGCAAGGATGAGAGGTTCAGTGTGACTCAGCTGGAATGAGAACATGTCCAAGCAGAAGGAGCACATGCCAGAGCAAAAACAGCAGGAGGTGAGGGAGCCATCATAAGAACATAAGAGAAGCCAGTGTTGGATCAGGCCGGTGGCCCATCCAGTCCAACACTCTGTGTCACACAGGGGCCAAAAATACCAGGTGCCATCAGGAGGTCCACCAGTGGGGCCAGGACACTAGAAGCCCTCCCACTGTTGTCCCACCCCAGGCACCAAGAATACAGAGCATCACTTGCTCCAGACTGAGAGTTCCTATCTGTACCTTGTGGCTCATAGCCACTGATGGACCTCTGCTCCATATGCTTATCTAATTCCCTCTTGAAGACATCCATGCTTGTAGCCGCCGCCGCCTCCCGTGACAGTGAATCCCATGTGTTCATCACTCTTTGGGTGAAGAAGGACTTCCTTTTATCCGTTCTAACCCGACCGCTCAGCAATTTCATGGAGTGCCCACGAGTTCTTGTCTTGTGAGAAAGCGAGAAAACGACTTCTTTCTCTACCTGCTCTATCCCATGCATAATCTTGTAAACCTCGATCATGTCACCCCTCCGCTGTTGTTTCTCCAAGCTAAAGAGCCCCAAGTGCTTAACTTTTCTTCATAGGGAAAGTGTTCCAACCCTCTGATCATTCTAGTTGCCCTTTTCTGCACTTTTCCCAAAGCTATAATATCTATTCTGAGGTATGGTGACCAGAACTGTAGACAGTACTCCAAATGAGGTCGCACCATCGATTTATACAGGGGCATGATGATACTGGCTGATTTGTTTTCAATTCCCTTCCTAATAATCCCCAGCGTAGCATTGGCCTTTTTTATTGCAGTCGCACACTGTCTCGACACTTTCAGTGAGTTATCTGCTACGACTCCAAGATCTCTCTCTTGGTCAGTCTCTCCCAGTTCAGACCCCATCAACGTGTATTTACATTTAGGATTTTTGGCTCCAATGTGCATCACTTTGCACTTGGCCACCTTGAGCCCCATTTGCCACGGTGACGCCCACTCGCCCATCCTCGACAGATCGTCACGGGAGGGGAGAGCAGGGGACTTGAGCCAGACCCCAAAGTCACATCCCTGCCCAATTTCGACAAGGCGTGCGCCACTGGGAAGGTGTGCCATGCCTGGTTAGAAAGCGGCAGTCTGCCAAAAGGGCCTGCAAAGAGGGAGAAAACACAACCCGAAAGGCGCGAGAAAGAAAAACAGTCAAATCACAGACCGCCGGCTTTTGCAACTCAGCCACATCACCTGGCTTTCACTTTTGTGGGTGGGCGTGGCGTCGTGTCAGCGCCAGTCCCAGGCAAGGGAGTGCACGCTCCGCCACAGGAAGGTGCAGCCTAAAGCCCAAACTGAGACAAAAGGGT